CTTTTAATTATTTTATTTTTATACATAATATGTTGATGATAGAGTGAACAGCAAAAAAGGTATACACGTTGCCTTTTCACAATTTTATTGCTTTATTACCATCATTAATGCGTGCATTTTGTTGTTGTTCAAACAAATGTCAGAGAAGCTAATTAATTTTGTAGTGTAATTTTCACTTCTTTACATTTTTGGTATCTATAGGAAGATAGATTTATTATAATGAATATGCAAAGGTTTTAGACTGTGGCAAATTTAAATATTTTGATGCAATTTTCCACTTTTAAAGAAGATAAACTTTTTAATTATTCATCGCTTATAGCTATTTTCTATTTACAGAATTTTGACAAATATATTTAAACTTAACATATGTTTAGTGATTCAGATGATAAACAAGTATATTTAAAGATGCAGAACTAAAACGTGTCTCTTTCTTATATATCATCTTTTTATATGGAATTTAGTGCCACTATAAGTTGCCAGCTGCATTCAATGCCTTTCCTTTTAACTTTAATCAAATTTCTTTAAGACACTATTGTGAGTCTCGCTTAAATATTGAATAACCAACCATACTCCTTTAATTAGACTTCAAAGTCATATGATCACTGAAAGTAAGCAGAATATCATGAATATCATCGCTGTAATTGAAAATAGAAATACATTTAACTTGATTCTTTAACCTACGCATATGTGCTGTAAGATAATTATTTGTTAATGTTAAAAATAACATAAAGGTGTACAGGTTGATGAATTACGATAAACCTACAAATTATACGAGAGTTTAAAACACTTTTACAGTTATTTAAGGCATTATGATGATTCGTACCGTAAAGAATGAAAAAAAAAGACATCTGGAAAGGGAAGAACGAGACACAAAAAAATTTTCTCCTTCTTTAAAGCAATAAAAATTTTCCTCGCTCTTCACATTGTAAAAACCATAAAGTTTTGGAAAGAGAAGCAAGGTAGATTTAAATAAAATTGGTGCTACTATTTCGTATACACAAGAAGAAATAATATAGAATATGAGACAAAGGAGGAATGGAAAATATAATCATTATCTGTAAGCACTTTGGGAGCTTCCTCATTTTATTTCTGCAAAAGAAAATTAAATGTGTGCTTTACAGTGAACAAAACGGAAAAGAAAAAAGAATTGCTGGCACCAGAGAACATTTGAATATAAAATTTTGCTTCTTCTTTTTTAGTTCCTCTTGGAGAAGATTGCAACAATTTCGGCATATGTAAATTGAAAGAATTAAGCGCATTAATTCTAGGTACAAAAGGTTTAAAAATTTAAGCTAAAGTCGTGAATTAATAGATAGACAAACTGAACTTCACATCAGAGCAAATTGTATGGACATTAAAATGCACAGCTTAACAATTTTTTTACCTTCCTTACAGAAAACTTTCATTTAATAGAGTATGTGCATTATTCTCTATGTTAAAATTAAAAATTATATTCTATGTATGTAGACACAAACTAAGTTTGAGAAATAAAAATTTAAAGTGAACTGAATGAACTGAGTGAGAAAAAGAGAAACAGCAAGAGAGCCCCAAAATGGTAAGAATGGAAACATAAAATGATAAATATCACAAGCACGAATTTTCATGAAAATAAATGGTTTTAATTAAAATCACCTGAAAATTTATACATTTTCATGTAAATGGGCAAAAAATTCGTGCTGTATTAAATATTTCTACTTTTTTCGTTTTATTTCATTTTTAGAAAATAAAAACTCTGTTGGTGTTTGCAAGATATATAGATGTGCTCATACAAAAATATCGCAGTTTTTAAACGTCAAAAATTTGAATTTTCTAAAAACACTAACACTATAAAAGAAAATTTTCAATTTTTGTTTTGCAAAATTTTCAACTTTCTGTTAAGTTTTGTTGATACAGGAGTATTGCAAATGCTTTGCTATAATTAAAAGTAACTGACTAAAGTCAAATGTTGTTGCATCTATCGATATTTAAATGAAAACTTGAAAATAGAAAATTTTAAAAAATTTTGTTTGTATAAGTACACAAAAAATAGTATGGTCGAGTATGGTCAAGTATACTCTGTATGAGCCCATCTATATATCTTGGGTGTTTGAAACATAAAAAAATACCATAGGAAAAAGGAACGAAATAAAAAATAATTAATTTCACCGTCTATTACCAAAAACTGCTCATACTTGGGTTTCAAAATTGAGAAGAAAAAAAGAAAAGAAGAAATGAAAATATTAAAAAGTTTTGTATGCAGTTACCAACATGTTGGGGATGGACACTTTTTGTGGTTCTTCAAGCAGACTGTCAATTTACAATCGTATATAATATATAAAACAAGCCAGTAATGGCACATAACCTGTCGTCATTTTTCAGAATTGTGTTTTTATTGATCACAACCCCCCCCATCCTCTTGAATATATAAATATATTTTATCATTTGATATACTTTCAGGTCAAGTTCAATACTATCAAAAGCAATTTTTTTACATTTCAACTTTACTTGGATTATTGGAATTACTTGGAATGATAGATTATTTGTTGCATGAATTTAATTTAAAATTTTTATTTATTTTTTGATAAGAGCTTTTAAATGCCAAAATCGCAGGATTACCATTCCCTGAAAATTGCAATTTTAATTTCTGCAATGAAAATTTTTCACCACCCACAATGCATGTGTGTATATCCATTTATATGTGCAAAGAATGTTTTTCATCCATAAATTCCGCACTTTTCCAGCTCAACTGGCACCCTCAGTTGCTTACCTGCAAAATAAAAATAGCGAAAGAAAAGTTTCTATCCCATATTATTGTTTTCATTTCTTCTCCATTTCCGTTACTGCAACATGACGAGACTAGGAAAAATTTCTTCTTAATTCTCAATTTTCATCGTTCATTCGATGTTGTTTTTCTTTTTCACGGAACAGAAATTAGATTTCGGTTCATTTAGGTTACGAAAAGTAGAAATTTTCAAAGGGAAGCGAAGAAATGGAAAAAAGGAATTTCTCAGCTCACGTGCACAGATTCTTTTGACAGATTTTATTGTTTTTTCTTTCATTTTCTTGCATTCAAGATTTTATTGCTTTCTTTGTCTTTTTGTAGAAGAAGCTAAGACTTCATGTAAAAGAAAAGTTAATTTCTCATTTCCATCAAGGATGCGAGCAAAATGAAATGAAGAAGAAATTGAAAGCAAAATAGGCTAAACTTTTTACTGGTTTATACTACATGAAAATTATTTCTAAGTGTACCTATGCATGCACATAAAAGTATTGAACATGGAAGCACATTTTATTATAAATTTTATAGCATTCAAGATGAGTATAATTATGAACCAATTAAAAGTTTATAGATTTTTATCTTCGTTCATGTTTTTACATTATGTTCCTTGAAATCGATGTAAATTCCAGAGGGGGGACAGAGCAAAAATTGTTAAGAAAAAAACGCAAAAATGTTCATTGTGATGAAATTTCCAAGTACTACACTTTGTGTTGGAAAAAAAATTGTCGAAAAATGAAATTTTTGCAATACTTCCTTCCAATGCAGTTTATGACCGAAATTTTGATTGGAACTGATGAGAATCATGATTTAAGACCTTTTGACATCTAAAAATTTTTACTTGGATGCTTCAGTTCCTTTAAATTTGACTTTTTCAATTTCGTTTGTGACTTTTTACAATTATTTTAAACTCAATTAAAATTTCCTATTAAATGCAATGTGATATTATCACAGTAATAATGACTATTAAGTTTAGAATACGAATATTCACGATAATGAGATCTATAGAAGTAATTTTAAACCTTTTTCTTTATGTCATATGATCATAATTGACGATAGTTTTTTTTTTAATTAGATTTAATCGTTTTATTCAGTCCCCACATTCAATATATTGATCGTAATATTATGATAGTGTCACATTGAATTAAGGTAAGAGCTTAAACTTTATGTATTTCTACGATAGTTCTTTTCGCTTGCTATACTTCAGGAAAAAATGGAAAAGAGCTTCAATAGAAAATAAATTGTATAGATTTACTACATTTACGAATGTTTTACAAAGATGTGCTTTTGGACATTCATTTTGAGTCAAAAAAAAAACCTTTACCTATTCAGATCAATAGTGATCCAGAGGTGCGCTAGGACGTTTCGCAGCTAATGAGAGTTTAACGAGCGAAGATGCGCCAAACCACTGCACTCAAACCTAGACCTACAATTTATAGTGGAATCCGAACAACTCCTTTGATGACATTACTGCCTTTAGCCTACAAAAGAAGGCTGTGAGCCTCATTTCCTGTACATATGATTCGAAAAAGGACGTGTGAAAAATTTCTCATACCCAGTCTCGAACCAATGATCGCTGTGTCGGTATTGCAATAATTAGGTACCTAAGTACTAAACCATTTCGGCACCGAGCCACTTCGCAAATTTTAAGTCAAGTAGATATAATATCTATGACTGGATATTTCTCTGTACCAAATAGTTTAATCATAAATATTCCTACCCAAATTAAATATTTTCAAACTTAAAGGTAAACCAATTGTTTAAATTTATTTAAACTACTACGAACTTTCTTCAAAAAGTTTTTAAGCGCTTATTTCACGAAAAACAAAAGTTTTTTTTTTTAATTTTTCTACGAGTTGTCTTGCTACAACATATCGGTAATCATTAAATATTGAAGCAATCAAAAAAGATTGTCTCTGTAATTTCCTGTTAAGCCATTTCAATTTATAAGAAGCCCCTTTTTCTGTACAATATAATGTGTCTGATTAGGTCAACTCAACATAATTTCTCTTTTTCTTTCGTTCTTTTCCTTTTTTTTCATTGAAAAGAAAACATGAGGGAAAGAAAGCATGTGAATAGTACATAACAAATGTACATACAACATAGAAAGCAGAAATGGAACTTTATTTTTTTTTTGTAAGTACTAAAAGAAAATCATATTAACCATATTCCCACACACATCCATATACACATTCACAATTCATCCGTACAATAACATTAAACCAAGAGAAATTCCCATTGGGACATGGCATTAATTCTCTCAATGTCTTTGAATGCAATCTCTTGTGTACATGTCAGGAGCAATAGTAGAAGCATCGAAATGAAGACAAAAATAAAATTGATGAGTCTCATTTGGGCGAAGGAACATTTATTTTACATGGCAATGAAAAAAGCTCATTTTGAAAGCACCAACTGTATATGTCCTCCCATCCATTGTGCACGGAGAAGAAATGAAGATGCTGAAAATGAATGCAATAATGGCTAGATTTCTTTATTTTCAATTTCAAAACACATATACACACCGAATTCCGTTTGTTTGTTTGATTTTTTTTTTTTCGTTGCCATAATCATCTGTACATAATATGGTCGAAGTGTATTGTGAATAAAAAGCATTGAATTAAGTTGAGAACAGATGTTAACAAATGGATGTATGAAATTGTATTGACAACACTAAAAATTCATGAGTAAATTTGTAAATCCCTTTGAGAATCTAAAAGTAAGGGTGAAAGAGAACGATATCAAGTAAGTGAGACATAGATATTATTAGATTATGTTGATGTTAAGGATGTTATTACTATATATTTAAGACATTTCAATCCGTACACTCAAGCAGATACAGATTTCATCTCTTTACATTTCATTTAATTTCCTTCTTGTACTTTCGTTGCAGAATGATTATTATGATAATGGTAAGTATGTATAGATATAAAATCAAAAGCTTGAGAAAACTTCTTGATGACAGCTTTGAGCGTATTTTCATTTCCATACCGAGGCTAGTATTATTTTTCATTGATCGTCTTTATTGTTTAACTAAAATTGGCAATAATGCAAAATAGCTGGAAATCGTATTTCATTGCGACTATATACCGAATAGCGTAGTACTGGACTCAAATCGAATCTTGAGCCATCATCGTAAATGCCAGAGTTACGCCAGCTTTGTGCCGGATTTCTATTCGATTAACCGACTTGTGCTATTCGGGTATATTCTAAAATTATTTAAATGTTTCATTGCAGAATGACAGAACATTTAAATTCTTTAAAGACTAACAACAATTTAATAACCATCAAAAGTAAGCAAATAAACTTGATTACAATTTAGAAAATAATGTTGTTTACGAAGGAATGAATGTCAAATAATATTTTACAAGCTCCAATATAAGTTAATTACAAAAAGGTCTCTCTCGAATGACCAATTTATGCAGCCATGCACACAAAGTATTGATAAAAAAAATATTGGCTTCCTTAAATAAACATGAAAAAAGACGAGAACTCATATCAAGCTGTTTACTCTGTATGTACCCATAATATGAATATTTATAAGCATTTCTGCAAAAAAAGGTAGTAAAACGAAGAGAATCACAAAGAATTTCCAAAAAGCTCCTTACTTTTTGAGTATGAAAAAAAGAAAACGCCTAAACAAGAATTCAATCTCGTTCAACTACTATGCATTTATAGAAGGACCTTCTCATATCTCATATATGTGTAAGGAATCATCAGCATTGAATCCAATTGGAAATTTGTTTGATGTCTTTCCATTGAAAAATTCAATTTAAATCCATGTCATTGAATTGAATTTGATTTTCTTCTTTATTTCTATCGCTCGTTCCTTTGCGATCATTGCTTAAAAAGACGAAATGTAAGAGAGATGGATGGATGGATAGATAGGAGATTGCAAAGGCAAAAGTGAAATGAAGTGAAAAGAAAAAGGGAAAAAAGTATATGGAAAGAGAGAACGAAGACACATGAACAGATACATACATTCTTTGTGGCATAAGTGTCATGAATGTAAAATAGAATGGATGAATGAGTGAATGTCAGTGAGGAAGTCTTTTTTGTAGCGTAAACCAATGAATCAATGTTTGATTGTAATCTCATTGATTTGATTTGGGAGATTTTTCCTCTTCTTAAAAATAAGGATAAAATGAGTGTGACTAGATGTAGATATGCCAAATGAATGCTTCATTGATTGCCCAGTAAAAGATGTTTTGCTCCTCCATAAACATTCTCGTTCAATTGCACATCATGAATTATTTATTTTATGAGTTCCTTCTCTTCGTCTAGATTTATCAATTTCAACATTTAAATTCACATGTTTAGATCATATCATATCAAAAGGATGAAATCCCAATTTGTCTTAAAAACATATCAATAAAATTCTACATTGCATTTCTTTCAATTTATCAAGCCAATTTATGAAACATTATGACCATCAATGTATTTGAATTGACTAATAAATGTGGGAAAGATTGGAGAGATGAGAAGAAAGGTTAAAATATCTTATTACAAGAATTAATAGCGATCTTTATTAAAACTCAAAATTGAACTATATTGATAAGTGTTTAGAAGCATAGAACCAAAATACATGATTAATTATAGAAAGAGATGATCTTGGCATATATAGAATTGATTAAATTTTTAAAGTTGACCCTATTAATAATCATATATACATGAATATCATTTTGTACAAACATTTTGATGCCTTCAAACAAAAAAACTTAAAACTTCAATAATCAAGCATGAATGATAAGCATCTAAAAATTGAAAGATTAAAGGTTTATTCTGGCATAAAAGCTTTATTTTTAGCGCATTTTTGTATATTTGTACACAAAAAGGGAGCTTAACAATGCGAAATGTTCGTTCGTTTGTTCGTTCGTCTGAAGAAAAACTTTTTAACCAGACATCGTAGAGAGCTCAGGTTTGTTTCATTAACTCCGTTACTATTGTTTATTGCCCGATCAAACAGTTAAAAGTCTTGAAACAGCGTATTTATACTATAAATAATGTTTTTTTTATTTCATAAACAAAACCTATAATTTCAAATTTTTTCTAGCCGTTGTAAAATTTGGATTTCAAAAAACCGTTAAATGATAACCCTTTCTGTATGGAAATTCATTGGAACAAATTATTTAATTATACTATAGTTATTGACGAACACAAAATAATTAGATGATCAAATACTGATCGCTGCGTCAAAAATGCGCTGAAGTCCCTCGATCAATAATACGAGGACTTTTGAAATTTTTTTAAGATCTTCTTTTTCTTTCGCTTCATTCGCTTCACTTTATCTCTTTCCTTACTCTGTAACGATCAATGTCGGATATTTTCTTACGTAAAAAAAATATCATTTGGTAATGTCTGTATCAGTAAATAAGCTACTGTGATGCCTAAAAAGGTTAATGCAGGGATATGAAACTTGATTTTACTAAAATTAATTTTATTTCACATTAGAATATTAGAGATTTGAGGTTCATCCTCCGCTTCCTTTCATTAGATTAATTTGTATATGTGAAATACCAATCAGTTTAAAAAAGGTTATAACCTTGATGACTTTAAGCACATTGCCGTTTTACTCATGATGTCAAAATCAAAGTTTATTGAACCTGTCATGTTTGTTGCTTTTATTTAGAAGCTTTTTATCTATCAAACAGTTAAGAAGAAAAACAGACAAGCATCGTGTGTCCTTATGAAGATAAACATATATCGTAGAACAGGTAAACATGTAAGGCAGGCAATTCGGTAGATAAAAGAATATATATATAGGAATAAATTACACATTCATTTCTCAAACTGTCTGTTTATGTTTATATATTTATGTTTATATATACATAAAGTAAGAAATTCACAGTCAGACATTGAAATTTATCATCAGCAGCTTTTATCATCTCTTCTATTTCCTTTTTGTTTCACATACCATACTATTCATGTATGCACACGTGAGACTGATGGTTCTTTGTATAAATCTCATTCATCCCCCTTATTGATATTGATGTGTGTATTCAATTGAATATTTTGCTTCATCATTCTTCTACCTCATCGCATAATAGTATAAATCTATCAACCGTAATCATCATCGTCGTCAACGTAAGAATGAAAGAATTTGCATTCTAATATTTCAATTCATTGGTATAAATATTTCATACACATATACCTTTTCCTTTTCTTCGCCATATTCTTCCTGCGCTTTTATCGTAGAATATTTGTTCTTTTATTCTATATACTTACGATAAGATGAAAATGAAGAAATCACGTATTTATACAACAAATAAATATAAAGCGAAATATATCCTTTTTTCACTTTTATTTTTTCACTAATAAATCGGAAGATAGGTAGAGATTATAGTATCGTCAAAAATAAGAATCAATGTATGAATGAAAAGATAACCGAGTTTGAATGATTGGATAACAATCTTTACAAGAACGCATTCCTCGTAAATGCCAATAGAATCAGAAAATAGAAGCAACTCTAAATTTAAATACAAAATACACATCTTTGATCAACCCAAATCAACCTTTATAATTGAAAACTTTGTGTAAAAACATGTTTATTTAAAAATTTTAATGTACTACAACAATGTTTCCTAAAGCACAGGAAATTTGAAATTTAATAAGCTTTCCCGATTAACTAATCTTAACGTTTCGTTTATACGGTAGCTAAGTAGTTCGTTTACTTATAACAAAACTACAACCACTTTAAGATGGGCCTACTTAAAATTGATTTTTATCATACAGGTGCCGCTTTGGTTCGAAGTATCAATCGGGTTCAGAATAATCTTACACAAAATGAGTTTTGCACGTGGATGGTATGTTTCACAGCTATTTGATTTTAATCAATAAGAAGTAACTGCCAATATTGGTTTATGATCAACAATTGGCAAAATCATTACGTGGAAAGATCCATAATTTACTCACATTAAAAAGGAAAATATATCTTTTGAGAGAAAACTCAACAATCGATAATTCAAGGTTTATTAAATTTTCATAGCATGAACTTCAGGTATCACGCAGGTAGCATGTAAGTCAATCTTTTGTTAATTCAATCTCCTAAACTCAAAACACACGAATCAAGTCTATCAATTTTAACCTTGATAAAAAGTTAATTGACGATGGATTTTGTTCAGAGGAAATAAAAGTAAAGCCTATTGAAATACAACGTCACAGAGAGAAGTGACAAATTCGCATGAATTGTTTATATTTGCATATCTACAAGCAAAGAAATCCTCAGTTCGATGTTCAAGGGGAGGAATAGGATTTTGTTATCAAATCTCGATAATCTAATTGATTTTATACAGCCAACAATGTACTTAGTAGATTTCTGTAATGAATCCGATAGAATATTTATATCCAATTGAATAATTTTGCATTAAAAGCAGATTTTTCTTAGAATTTACAGATAATCTTATGGACATCTGGAGTTCATACAATGGATGAATAAAAATTAATAGAATTTATGAAATCCAACTCGCTTTATGATTAATGAAGTCTTAATTTTTCGTTAAATTATTGACTGTAGCCAGAAAAACATAGTAAAAAGGAAAGAAAAAATATTCAAATGAATGGGGAAGTTCACATATGAAACTTTCT